TTCAATTCTTCCCATTCCGTTTACTTCAGTAAGTGCCCCAGTATTATAAGGTAAAATGTAATCTGCAATTTTGTAGCTGTGGTCATCTTGAATTTGCATCTCTTTCAAAGTGTTCTACTTTGCTACTAGTCAAGCCCTGTCATTTGATACCGATATTGAGTAAGTTGTGAAGCAATATGTAATCTGCCATTTTGTAGCTGCGACCATCTTGAATTAACAATGATACAAAATTCATCAAATTGTATCGTCATCAAAACCAAATGTGTGTATCAAATATCAGATCAATATGTCCACAAGAAGGAGGTCAAACTTCAGTAACTGAATTTGATTCAAACAAACAAACACGGCAAACTGAACAAAACCGTTAATTAGTGTATTACGTATCGAGTGGGACAGGGAGCCAATTACCCACGAGCGAAAAATTGTAAGCATGAGGCGTTAGCCGAGTGCGATAATTCTTGAGTGGTAATGGTAAAATATATTCCTTTGCGATTATGGTTATGGATAATAAACTCATTGACTCAGACAGTCAGAAACCAATTGAATAAATTCAAACTTGGTGGCAATTATGTACATTTATAGTTACACTAATATATAATTATATGATTTACATAAACCTATATTCAGCAGTGGGATTCGAACTCAGGTTATAGAAAAAATATATTGATTGAGATTGAGAGTTTTAAATAAAATGATAACCTCAAATACGAGTGCGAACAGGAAGTTTTTGGTCTGAAAAATATTTTCAAATCCTTTTGCTTGGCTGTTATAGTTCATAGAATTATCGAAAGTGGGCTTTGCTTTAGAGGCGTCTGGCAAATGAAATACGATTGGCTATTAGCTGGTGATGTTAAATAATTCAGTTTCAACCTTTATGTTGGCTCTTAGTATTTCAAAAATTGTTGCAAAAAGAATAGAATTGAATGAATTGATTATTCCTTTAGTGGTAAACGTCGACCACTTCTTCGCTTTATAACCATCAGATTTGCGTTTTAGAGAGGAACGTGGAATATGGAATATTTGCTAATGACCATATTTTTATTGATATTCTAAGCATATAGTAAATTGCCCATCATGATGATGGTTTCAAAGTTTTTCCTAAATCTTCGAAATAAACGAGAAGTACGTTTTCGGAAAACGAAGTTATGTTTTTCTTCTCTCTACAACTCATAAAATTTTCGAAATTATATTCGAATTTTCCTTTTGATTTTGCTTGCGGTGATATCTGGTGGGATAGCACAAATTTTTTTATCGTTATCACTCATTTTGACTTTCTACGAGATACTGAATGACAATTTATAATTAAAATAAGGGGTTGTTGATTCACGGATATAACTAGATTCATTACCAACCCATAAACTGTTGGATAATAAATTTACTGAAAATATGAGTTTTATTTCGATTTTACAGAGAATATGAAGAGAAAATTCACTGATTTCGGCTTATGGATAATTGAATGTATTCATGAGATCATATTTATCAGAGAAAATATAACATATCTCAACATTTTTTTAAATTTCTCACGGAAGTGGCCTCTCCAGTTTGGAAGCCACCTTACAAGACATGCCACCAGAGACCGCAGAGGATATACGACATGAAGTTGCACATGTCCTAAAAACACAAAAACCACCCAAATCCAACTTACCAAGGAAAGAAAGAGATGCCCTTCAGAACTTGGAAAATAACAAGAACATCATAATATGAACATCATGACAGTAGTCATGAATACCACGGACTATCAGAAAAAGATGATGAACATCCTCCAAGACGGTTCTTATAAACCATCAGCCAGAGACCCGACGACATATTTAGAGAAAACCACAAAGGCCAAAATCCAGTCTTTCAAGCTAGGTCGGGAAATCGAGCAGAAAACCATACCTCGAGAAAAGTCCAGCAAATACCCGAAGTTGTATGGCCTTCCAAAAATTCACAAGACGGACGTTCCACTAAGACCAATAGTGAGTGCCATCAACTCACCGACACAAAATCTAGAGAAATACTTATCCAAAATCATGCAACCAAAGACGGAGCTGGCAGAATCTTATGTGAGAAACTCAGAGCACTTGGTGGATATCATTAAAAACATCAAACTAAACGACACCGACATCNGATATATATATATATTTATGAAGATTCAGGTTTTCTCAGATGTTAATACGATTTCCTTTATTGACTTGTTTTATGAGTTTGATGTTTTCTGTTGGGGGAAAGTTATGCTTGTTTGATGTGGCATGTGTTGCGAGGTTTCATTTAAATGGTATTGGTTTTGTGAATGCTTTTTTGTGCTCGTTGTCCCTTTGGATTAGTTTTTTCTTGGTTATATGCGAGCGCTTTCGTTCTCATATATTAATTAGAAGTTATTAAAGCTGCTTCAAATCCTTTTCGCAGCTGCCCTAGAGAGAAATGCTCCAATTCCTGCTTTATCATGGTCGCGGACCACGCTTTTTTTCATCATCGAGGCAAGTATACTTCTCTCCAGTATCCAGATGGCATTCATCTATTAGCTGCACATCCTCTTCGTTATCCTCACATCGCCGTTTTTTGAGATGGGTCAATGCACTTTGGCGAATTTCATACCGATACCATGTGTGTACTTACCCTCAAGAACTGATCAAGATCCTTTTCTCTGGAGACACGAAGTTTGAGATCATCCATATTAATGTCTCCGTCCTGACATATACTCCTTCTGGAAATGACTCACTACGTTTGGACTCTAGCCTGCCCATATTTTATAATTGAATGAGTCCGGCAGAGAGATATAAGTTGTTCAAAGCATCACATTATCTCGTCGGAATCCGCAAGGCACTTGAGCAAATTCAAATGTACTCATGTATGCCATAGTCGATTCAGGCCATACAAAGGTTACGCTTATACTGAGTTCTTCATCTATCGATGAGCAGGTTCTCTCTTCGACAAACTCGCTCATATATCCATTCGAACACTCGATCAACTGCGGTAAGTAATGGTGTATATAGGGTGATCATAAACAACACACAATACAAATTTAGGCATATTATTGGCCTTCCCAGGAATCGTGTTTGGAGATGAAGACGGTCGATCTCAAGTCAAGCCACCGGTATCGGCTGCTATCTGCTTTTCTTTCAGCCAGAAGTTAAAAACTCCGGCCAGAAGGCGGTGAGAGATTGGTAGTTTTTTCGAACAATAATCAGTTTATTCAAACAATAAGTGATTTTGGCCCGTAGCAGCAAAGTTCTTGGGTCCCTCAAGACCTCTTTGAACATCATCCGGGGTGATCGGTTTATGCAGTTAATTGGGCTCAGGCTATCGAAGCTCCCTACTGGAAGCTTCAAACTGCAAGTTGAGTGGTTGCGGCTGTTTATAAATATACTATCGAAAGGATATCAGCTAATCAGCGGTCAGCAAATTATTCACAACATGCGGAGTCTCTTGGAACAACCGAAAGGGTTCCCCGTCGAACTTGAGGTTTTCTACGATATTTTCCGCTCGCCTTGCCAGTAACTTTTCAGCGGCCACCAGTATTCGTATCTCATCAAGATAATGGTTCTTTATGTCAGGAGTATGCCCTGACGTAATTTACCGACTATTCGCCACATTCCGGACGTGAAAGGCCTATTGGCCGCCGTGTAATCCATCACACATTGAATACGTTGTCCCTTTGTAGTCCCACTACCTCCATCTTAGCCTTTTGTGTATCCGCCACCCAATCCGATTAGCCATTGAATGGTTATATACACGGCGGTTTTTCAGTTTGCCAGGTGTCAGCCACTAGTGTTTAAACATCCCAAACCTCCGCATCCAAACGACCCAGTTCTTGTGGCATCAGAAGCCTAATTCGGTGGAGCGCCCTGTGTGTTTTGATTGGCTCCACTGGGAATATGATGCAAGTCTCTTCTCCAGTCGCATCTACGAATGGTAAAGCTGTCACTACCACTACTCAATTAACAGACCAGGATGGAAAAAGCGGCACAGAGCATGAATTCCTGCTGAGTACCCTCTCCGCAAGGACTCACTACTCTCGTGGCATTGTATCAGGCTACATCTCAACGTATGCGTCCTCTCAAAACATCCAGTGGCATTGAGTTCGTCATCTGATAGAAAAATCTGGTTATGGGTCTCACCAACTTGCCCCGTACCCCGAGAAGGTTGATTGTGAAGGCGTCTTTCTTTATCAGTGATTATCAATTTTATCGACTGTTTATTTGGAAGGGATATTCGAGAAAATCTACATCAGGCTAGTCAGCGTGATATATTTGGCACTTCTCATTTTTCACATCGCATTCAATATCCCCTAGAGAGTAAGGCAACACCGGTATCTCGTCAATACCGTGGAAGTGCCGTAAGTGGTAATCAACCACTCCTCAGGCCACTTTATGTCGATGAATATAAGAGATTGAGACCGCATAATATGCTGAACATGCCGAGAGAAAATTCATCAGGGTCTCGGATGCCTCGCGACTGGCCCTGCGTCAGGAACCTCTGTACTATACCCATTACGTAACTGCGCGGTGGCTATCAATAATATTATTATCAATTCATGGAGTATTTGTTGGTATGATTCATCATTCATTTTCATCAACTTCATAGGGCTCATAATAGTTCATGGAATATAAAAAATTGTTAATATGATTCATTTCTCCTTCAAAAAATGTTTTGAATACCCATAGCTTTGAGTTATCATATAACATTCAACTCCTTTACATATCCATATAAGTTTTTATTCATTCACTTTTTCCTTTTGCACGCTTTTACGTATCAAGAAGCGAGATTTCACTCTTCGTTCAATACGCGAAAATTTGTAAAAACAAACCTCCGGTGAATTGAAAAGTTTACAAAAGAATTATTTTTATTTCCATATGAGAAAATGCGCGATCGAGGTAAATCCTAATGTGATTGAAAATGTTTCATTTCATTTGTTTCAAATTTTTTATGGATCATAATAATTTTCAGGCGGTACTAAAAGAATTGCCAATTTGATAAAGATAACTTAAAATAACAACAATTTTACTATAAAAACAGTGGTCATTTTTTTTTCAAAACAATAACCCATAAATTCTCTCGTGATAATGTTTCTTAAAATAATTGTTTTCATTACATACAGTCTAACCTTAGAGGTGAAATGTGAAGGAGGTAAGCTGCTGTTATTTTATCTAAGTGTAATATATGAATTAAATGAAGGTATATTCATGGGAAAACCGTACTATGATGGTCAATAATCCAGAGAAACGTCTCTGCGGTTTATATTTTTTTTGGTGCTCTGCCCATGAATGTTTTCCCATTTGCTTTTCTCTAAGATTGAAATGTGGATTGGGAATTTCAATAAAGTGCAACACAAAGTGTAATTTTTACCCAATAAAACATTCTTTGTTTTTATTCAGTCGGACAGTAGCCGGTTGGCTAGCGTGAGATATTCATTCTACTCATTCAATCCAGTTAAAATTGGTTCGAATCCAACTGTCAGTTTTTTATTTTCAATGTACACGTCTGATACGTGCTAGTAACTCCAGGTTAAAAAAAATATCGTTAATTTTCAACTCGCAAAAGCTCAGAATTCTAAGGATTGTCGTTCGTGAAGGAATGACGGTTGGTTAAAGAAAAAAAACCTTTCAAACATTTTTAGTAAAGAATCATAAATACAAAAGTTTTGTTGCCAATCAGTGAAAACTGTAAAAATTATCGAGTTTTTTCATATGAAACCTATATTTTAAATAAAAATTATTCCAATATGTACACTCCTCCAAACCGATATTATCACCCTTTCGAAAGTAGTTGGAACAGTATATAATCCAAAAAGAAGGACTTGGTAAACTTCAATGAGCCAGTAGTTGCTGTTCCATTTCCTAATTGAAAAAGTCTATTTCAAAAAAGAAAACTATTTCGATTCAAGAAACGTAGCGAGGGTATTGAAAATCTTGGGAATTGAAGGAATCATTGATCATGGAATGTTTTTTAAAACAAAATTAGTTTTTTAAAAAAAACTTTCTTGCTTTTATCTTTTCTCTGAATGTATAGGAAGCTAAAGAATTTCAAAGAAAGAAATGAATAAATTGAATATATTTCAAAGCTCTCTGGTATGTTGACTCACCTAATGACGACATTGGATGATATCGAAGGATTCTGAGCGGCCAACCTTTCGAATTTGTAGTAGCCCAGGCCGCGACGAGCAGCAACAGTGTAGTTAGTACAAGGCAAAATTCAACGTGGATTGGACTCAAGTCAGTCTGATTTCACTCGACTTTACTGGAATTCAATCCACATATCTGTCTGGGAAGATTCCTTTACGAAGTTGATAGAAATACATGACGGTTAGTTTAAGTTTCACGAAAAATAGAAAGGACTTACAGCTGTCTTTTCTTCATCTATTATGAACATCTTGAAAATACGTGGCTACCCTTATGACTCGCTGTCTCGTCGAAGAATACCAAATCTATTATCATCCTCTCTATATCTCATATCCAGCAGCATACGGTATCGTTATATTGGCGTGCGCGCTTAAAATATCAATCGGGATTGTTAGGATGGATTGAAGAGTTCGCAGCTTCCACAAAACAGAACACAAAATCATAAATTGGATGGTATACCTGGAACCGAGTTGGAATTATTCCAATCAAAATTTTGATAACCTTCAATCCCAAAATCAATAATTTCGTAACAACATGGATAACTTTTCATATTGTTCATTCAGCCTATACACATGAAAGGGTTGACCAATCCTTTTCTACTGAAAAATACTCTGTTTTTGTTTGAACTCCTTCTTCCAGCATAGTTGTGATCACGTTGGTGACTACTGTTGGCATTTGGCGAATAACAGCTTCGTTGAAGACTGTCTAATTGTTTGTGTTCACCGGTATTCATTCGATGTTCCAGCAAATTAATTTGTCCTATAGATGTAACTTCAATTTTTTCGAAATTCTCATTTTTTCAAATCTTTTTCAATGTTGAAACAAATTTTTTCTATTTTCTATTTTGGTTTTCTAGTAATAAGTTGTTTTCCAGGAGAGTTCGTTAGTATCAATGTATTCACTTTTCCACATATCATATTCTCGTATACTCGTAATCCAACTATGCAAACATTGTTGCTCTTGTTTTTCAACGAAAATTTGATTTCCGTACACATTGTTGAACCACTCAGGTAAGTTTTATTGAATACAGGGTCATATTCAACTAGATTCATTCGGAAACCATCATTACTTGTTTCCAGTGGCATCCTCAAGGGAGTGGCGAGCAAGGCAACTACTCTCAATCTTTCAGCCACAGAAATATATAGTGGAAAAATCAAATATAGAGTGTACTATATAGTGTACTATATAGTAGTCCTGAGGATCATTGCCACATCGCCGTAAATGTGGCGTCTGTAGAAAGCAGGTTTTCGAATTCATGAATAATTGGGACATGTTCAAAATAGTTGATGACATAAAATCAGCTTCATTTGGTTTCAATCAGAAATTTCGGTGAAATGAAGAATCGAGCGTCATTCTCAAATTTCTGCGTTGATATTTCTTTCTAATCATTCATACGAACCTGAGTTTTCCATTATTGAAAATTTGTATGTATCATTTTGGAGCTGAAAATTAATTCATTCATGAAATACATCTCTTTCCAATCATCAGAAATACGTATTTTCGAAATACATACTTTTCTCAAACGGCAAGGACCTCATGAAGATCTGGTGTCCGGGCCGGATTATAAAAAAGCCAACCAACCAAGCTGAAGCTTTTCCACTCCGTCGAGCTAATTCTACCGCAGCTGTGTGTTGAGGTTTCCATTGCACGAGTATATTCATCCGTTATATTTCATTTTTCTATTTGAAATTGGTTTTCTTTCATAGTGATTCGAATGCAATTTCTATCGTATGTAGTTAGTTCGAACTTGTAAATGAGTCTATAGTGTCTTTCACTCATGATATTATTTCTATAAAATTTCTTCAAACTCTGCATCGTCTGGTTTTCTGATATTCGCAACCCAATGCTTCATAAATGACTAACTATTCATTTATCTGATTTCCGCCCAATCAACTATATTGAAAAAAAACGTGGCGTCCCCATATAATAAAAAATATATGAATCCACGTTTCAAGAGGGTCAAATGTTGTCGACATAAACAAAGTTACTACCTTTTTTAACACTGCAAAAGAACATAAATGTTCACAGTACGTTTTTAAAAATTCAAAATCTGACATTTCGTTAGTTTCATAACCAAGTCGTGATATCATTGAGTATTTGACATTGCTGATTCGCAATTGATCTAATTGCTTTTAATACCAATGTAATAGAGTTTTTGGTGTGACTTATTATATTCCATTAAATCTCAAATAGACTAATTTCTGTGAATATTCATTTTGACCAAAATGTTTTATTTAATTTATCGAACTATTTTTGGTTCTAGAATACTACTGGAGACCTTGGACTCGTGATTCTCCACCTGAAGATGCTATAACGGCTCGAGATAACAGAGGAATTTCTTACGTTGTCGAAGCTTATGCCCCCAATCTTGGTATTTTCATCGGGCAGGCATTTGTTCACCAGCACCAAATAAATGTTTCAGCCTTCCATGTGAATTCAACGCTCATACCGCAGAAGAGTCATGCTTTGAAGGTAGCACATTATGTATTAAATAATATGCCTGTTTGAAAAGTTTTTCAAATAGATTTCATTATTCTCTTGCTGAAATATGAGACATTATAACACATTAAAAATATTTATAAAAAACTTAATCAGTTTTGAAAAATTAGTTCAAAATTAATTTTTTTTTACTGTTTTCTCTTTCATATAGTTTCAAGTTCCCAAGCTGTTTTAGAAAAAAATCACACAAAAATCAAACAGGTTGACCAAAATTCTCAAGAAGTTATAAAATTTGTAATCTGTGATCATAAGTACATAAATGTGCCGTAACTTCCCATGTACCCCGTTTTTTGAAATTTTATCCAATAATCAGAAAAATAGTACTTGAAGCACTGGTAATGGGTAAAAGACTGGTGATGAGGTACTTGCAAAATTGATGAGACGTAATGGAGAATAATGTTTTGTACTCGCCATATGAGTTCCAGGAAAATAATTATCTCCATTTTTTAACACCTCCAAAACTAACACACGTCAGCTGCAGGATTGAATATTCCACTTCTTATATACAAAATAACGTTGATAGGCTATTTCAGCTTACTAGTTCTTCGTAAAAAAAAATTATTGAAAAGAGGATGATATATAAGATTCAAAAATCAATTCAACCAATAACGATTTGAATGTGTAGAATATATCGAAATATACAAAAACAAAAAACAACTGACAGAAATGTGTATCCTTGATATTATGAATCGGTATTTTTTCGAGACTTTGTAGGACGTCAACAAAAATAAAGCGATTTTTGAGGTTTCTAAAGAATTGGATCTTTTTTATTCGGAAACTTTAATGATGATAACCAAAGATGAAGGTTTGATTATTTGAATGATTTTGAAGTAATGAAAGAAAGAAGAACGGTTAAATGAAGAAACATTTACAATTTTTGGATATCATCTGGTGAAAACATATTTACGATACCAAAACTGATTAGGGAAATATGGAACAAAAACCATATTTGATCATGTCAGTCTCCCATATTTTGAACGAAAGAAATTTTTGTGAAGGAATCAGTATTTTCATCAACCTTTTCTGCATGTTTTCACCTTCCACAATCTGAAAAAATGAAGATGAGTAATTAAGAAAATCATACAGGTGTAGAAAAGTCAAACTTTCACTTTACCGGACAAATTACTTCGTGAAATACATATATACACATTTTTCAATAATCTGGACATGGATCGTACTTGACTTTCCATCTTGAAGAAAGATGTAAAAAGTAACTTTTAAAATTCTCTCAATTTTTTTTTTTCAAAAGACAAAATTTTTCAAAAACGCAAGTTACTGATGAACAGAACATTTTCCTTCGAGAAAAATATATTTATTTCACGCCGTAACATATGTGGATGAGTGCCATTTGGAAAAGATAAACAATATCTTAGGGTTATGTGTCTTCTCTTGATGTTTAAAAAATGTTAAATGATGTCTCAAACATTTCTCAAACAAAAATGTTCAATGTAACCTTTCGTATTCTCTGAACAACTATGATTAATTTTTTTCAAGGCAATTTTATCAGAATTTGTGAAACAGTAATTTTTTGAAATCAGTGATATTTCATCACACACAATAACAGTTAGTAATTATTTTCAAATAATTTCGCCTATCATCTGAATAGTACTAAAATAATCAGCAGTAAAGTCTTCTCAACCAAAAATTGAATTTATTCCAAAATGTGTTGCTAATAACGCGTAAAAAAATTCTATCTAGACCGATAGTCTTGTTGATAGGTAGGTGAGTGGTATTACAAATAAATATTTCACTGAAGTTGGATAAAATGCCTTTCGAAAGAGAATATTACTACTCACTTTTCATTCAGAAGGATGGCTTTTCATCAAATAGAATAGAATAGTACAAAAGTTGTCAGCGGACAAGTCTTCTTAACGAAAAATAGAACCCATTTCAAGAAGTGTTTCAATTAACACGGAAAAAAATCATCTAAGACAGATAGTATTATTGATGGGTAGGTAAGATTTATTACAAATTAATATTCAACTGCAGTTGGAAGAGATTATTATTACTCACTTTTTTTTCAAAATAATGACTTTTCATCTAATAGATTTCTGTGTATTTTGCGATTATTGAAGTCATGAGAATTAGTAAGGTATACAACAGAGAATGAACATAATATAAATTCGCTGAATGCACAAAAAAGGAAATGAATAATACCAGTGTTCATGTGGGAAGAAAATACTCAATAAGTGACAGTTTCGTCACAACATCATCACATGAATCCGCCTATTTGCATAAACGGGTTGATCTGTCCTTTCCTACTGGAAAAGACAAAACAATCACTAATTCTGATTCAACTCCTTCTACTAGCATGGTTGCAATCAAATCGTTTTGGTAACTTCTGTAGGCATTCACCACCATCCACCAAACTAATTTGCCTTGTAGATGAATCCGTAGGGAGAACATCACTTAATATTTTACGAAATTTTTTTGTTCGCCCCTTTTTCAATTTTGAATCATAATTTTTCCAATAGTATTTTTTGTTTCTCTAGCAATACTGTGTTTTCTAGAACATTTTGTATATAATCTATCGTTTGCTCTTATTTTCTTATTATTCATCAAAAACTTGTTTCCAGTGGCGGCCTTGGGGGGTCGCGAGCAGGACAACTACTCTTTCAAAAGCCTTGCGCAGTGACCCTTGTAGAAAAACAATTCTTGATTCTGAACTAAAACTAAACTGAAAACAAATTCTAATTTTGCTACCCGCGCACTACTACGTCGACTCGCCGCACCGTTTTTTACTATTACTCCATTTGAGAAGTCCTGAGAATCAATGTCATAACGCCTGTGAATCTTGCGTCTGTAGGAAGCAAGTCATCGAAATTAAAAATTACTGGAACATATTCCAAATATATTTACGATGATATAAAATCGGCTTCAATCGTTTTCGGTGTTTCAATTAACACGAAAAAAAATTAGCCTTGACCAATAGTATTGTTGATAAATAGGTAAATTGTGTTACAAATAAATATTTCACTAAAGTTGGATTGAATGCCTTTTGAAAAAAAAATATCATCACTCACTTTTGAAGTCGTGAAGAAATATTTAGGCATTCAACAGAGAAACATAATAGAAATTCACAAAATTCGGAAAAAAAGGTAGATGAATAATATCAGCTATTCAAATATAACACATTCGTTAAACCCTACAAGCCAGGGTTCGTGTGGATTCAGATCTGTAACAAGAAATGACTTCATTGAATAGTGCACTAGACAAAATAATAAAGAAACATGGATCATGGATGAGAAATTACGAAATGATATTCCAACCAATATTATTTTGGGAGACGAAACGTCTTTTGAAAATGCTTGCATGTTGATTTGAAAAAACAAACATTTTTTTGTCATGGAAATTTCCCAAGTCAATTATTAAGTTGATAATTATCTAAATATGATGAACTATTTTCCCTCAAAGTTTCGAAATTGTCAACTTTAGTTCCTACAAGTTGGTTACGGTTTATACGATTTCAAGTGGGGACTAACAACATTGATTTCTATATTCGTGCGGATAATGAAGAACGCGTATCTGCTACTGAAACATCAACGGAGTTGGATTCAAAAGAATTATTTTTTTGACAATTTTCACTTCCTGAATTAATGCTTGACAGTAGGCTCGAAATGTTCACATAGGGAATTTGGTTTGATATTCTGACATTTAGAAATGAGGGATGCGTGATTAGAGAATTTGATATTGTTCTTTAATTTTCATCATAAGGAAATTTTGAAATTCACTCTACACCAAACGCACTGATCAGATCTCACACTCTAGTTTTTTTTTCAATATAAACATCCATATTTTCCAGGTTTTATGTTCTGGTAACAAGGACAAGTTAGCCTGGTATCCAACGTCATCTCATGTACTCAGACATGAATTGGAGACTTCGACAGTGAATGCTGTGGTTGGAGGTCAGAATGCACAAGATGACATCCTTTACATAGGAAAATACGTAGATACATCAGCAAGAACTATACATTTTGGAAGCATTTGCGATAGTTTGCTGCACTTACATTACAATCATAATAACGTTAATAAAATTCAATATCATTATGAAATATTGATATTGAATGATAAGTGTAATAAATAAATGAAGGTAATACTGAAATATATGTGATACATTGAAGCGTAGGTATTATTAATTATACAATTTCACCTACATCGAGTTCAAAAGAATAAAAATGTTGATTTCAAGATATGGGTTAATATTTCAACAAAAATGTTTCAAGATATGGGTTAATATTTCAACAAAAATGTTCTACCCATTTCTTATTCGATCAAATAGTTGATTTGAAGTAGAGAGCAACTTTGCCGCTGATTATTCGGAATTCAATTCGAATTAACATAAAACTGAATAAGAATTTCTCCGGGATACTCTTGTCAGCTGATAGACTAAATGCGTGTTTGGTAATCGACCTTAAATTCTTACTTCTGCTGATTAAAGTCAATACTGACAGACAAACAAATGAAAATAGAAACCATCCACATTTTCCATTTATTTACGACCAGTGATGTCTAGCAAATTGTATTACTCTTAATAAAAATAATAATCAGCCGTAATAGTCGTCACGGAAGTTAACAGTGTTTAGCTCCGAACATAACCAAAATTATCGAACAAGTTTGGACTTGTTTGGAAAGTTGATTTGGAATCTATGGAGTAACAGTTGAAATAATTGTTGAAATGATTGAAAATAATAATTATCACAAGGCCAAAATATTCAGATGAATTAGTAGGAACAGAAAAAAAATTGCAAATATGGAGGTTGATTTTTCTCAGCTCCCAATCAGAATACATGAATATGACAAGTGGGATCTTGCCGAAACGTCATGAAATGTCAATATTTCACAGAAAGCCTTGACAAATATCTCAAATGATGTCACTGATTTAATATCTGTACCTATATAGTAGAAAATGGATTCGAGCAGGGTCAGTCTAGTTTCGAACATTTGATCATTAACAGACAAAAGAGGAGAAAAAA